GCCCATATAAGATACTATATGGTGCAATAGACCGTTACGGTTACACAAAAGCTTTTACAATGCAATATCTTGTAGTAGATTGCAGACTAACAACCAAGCTTCAGTCAAGTAAGTTAAAAGCAAAGGAAGACTATCAGTAACACAGTAAAAGAAATAAATAAAAGGAAAAACAACCTATTTTAAAATTTTCAAAAACTGAAAAAGTTGACAAGAATGCGTGTGATTTTTAAAAAGCCAATTTTGTTATGTTCGGTGATTTTCCTATGTCACAAGTATCTGTCAAGAAATGCATATTCTGTGCAATGAAGACTTCTATATTTTTTCTTCTCATAGAATAATGCGCCTTCCATCCAGTTACCAGTATTATGAGGTATGGAATGCCCCTAGTTTAACATGCATGAACTTAAAGGCGAAGGAAAGCAGTAACTAGGACCGACCTACGACTGTGAGGAGTCCAACAATCGCCGATTACTCCCAACAGGATTTGAACCTTAAAACCCCAAAAATGTTTCCTTAATATCATTAAGTTACTGAAAAATCGCGTTATGCATGGTAGACAATGTTATATAGAAGAATGAACTGACCCGCCTACAGAAATTTCAACCTCCATAAACTTTTCAACAACCTGGCTGCACTTCTAACTAGAACTCAAAAAACAATATCACAATCATTACCTGTTAACCTTTCTGAAAATAAATATTAATTTCCAGTCACAGAAGCTGAGCAGCAAACAACACTATGGGATTCAGACAGAACTGAATCTCATTCTACAACTGATTTAGACAAAAACGTCACCATTACCACGGGAACCAATGGAAGTTCTGATTCACTGATGATTGCAATTGCAGTGTCAGGAATAGTTGTTGGTTTTATCTTTGGAGCTTTGTCAATGTTTTTCATACAAAGGTAAGAAGAAAAATAACACAAAGTAGTAATATTTTCCTTCCAATACTTGCACTTTGTATAATGTTTTTGAATATTGTTTTGAGAACAATATGCCATTTCAAGGTTTCATTTGAATGTGGTTGATAATAAATATCCGTACCCTACATTCTTGCATATAAGCCATTTTTAAATTTCAAGAATAAGTTATCATGACCATACATGAAATCGCTTATTACATTCTACCGGACGGACATACAACTTGATTCTATTTATAGAACCAGCGTTTTCTCCTAATGTAAACTTCAAAAAGCACACTTTAAATGTTGTTACCGATAATACATGAAATGGATTATTACATCCTACCGGGCAGAGATACAACTCGATTCTATTCATAGAACTAGCGTTTTCCACTTGTGTAGACTTCAAAAAAGCACACTTTAAATGTTGCTACCCATAATATCGTTTCAGTCATGACCATACATGAAAGGGCTTATTACATTCAACGGCACAAAAATAGAACTTTCAACAATATAATTTTCAATTTTGTGACTTACTGGAAATAAATATAAAATAAAAGGCTTTGCAAGGAAATGGCATCAATGTCCACCACGCAACCACGCAACCATGCAAATATACCGCAACAAAATGAAAGGCGCAGGGTCGCACAGAAAATGAGCAATCAAAGTCCCGATTTCATTTATCGTCGTCATTATAATACGTGGCAAAGTGCTATAATTGGTTTGAATATCTCTCTTGACAACGAAACACTGTGATAAAGGCGAAAAGTGGCTATTATTCGAAAATCAGTCGAAAAAGTATTTGAATACTTTGATATCCTTGACTGTGATTGGTGCGTACGACGTTTTACTAATTGTAGGGTTGGCTTATATGCGAATTTTCATAAAAATCGTCGTTTCAATACCGCTTTTATGGAGTCAGCTTATATGCGCGAATATACAATATTGATTTTATAAACCCAGGTATTGCATCCACAACAACAAAAAACCAAAAAACAAAGATTCAATGGAAATGGAAAGCATTGAACATCAGCAGCCAACTGTCAATGAACGAACAACATACACACCAACATCAGATGAAAGGGGATATGAAGTTCCGATTCCAGTTGATAAAAAGAATAAACAAAGTGGATATGAAGTTATAAATCCAGTTGATAAAAAGAATGAACAAAGTGGATATGAAATTATAAATCCAGTTGATAAAAAGAATGAACAAAGTGGATATGAAATTATAAATCCAGTTGATAAAAAGAATAAACAAAGTGGATATGAAATTATAAATCCAGTTGATAAAAAGAATGAACAAAGTGGATATGAAGTCATAAATCCAGTTGATAAAAAGAATGAACAAAGTGGATATGAAGTCATAAATCCAGTTGATAAAAAGAATAAACAAAGTGGATATGAAGGTATGAATCCAGTTGATAAAAAGAATAAACAAAGTGGATATGAAGTTATAAATCCAGTTGATAAAAAGAATAAACAAAGTGGATATGAAGGTATGAATCCAGTTAATAAAAAGAATAAACAAAGTGGATATGAAGTTATGAATCCAGTTGATAAAAAGAATGAACAAATTGGATATGAAGTTATGAATCCAGTTGATAAAAAGAATGAACAAAGTGGATATGAAGTTATGAATCCAGTTGATAAAAAGAATGAACAAAGTGGATATGAAGTTCCGATTCCAGTTGATAAAAAGAATGAACAAAGTGGATATGAAGTTATGAATCCAGTTGATAACAAGAATGAACAAAGTGGATATGAAGTTATAAATCCAGTTGATAAAAAGAATGAACAAAGTGGATATGAAGTTATGAATCCAGTTGATAAAAAGAATGAACAAAGTGGATATGAAGTTCCGATTCCAGTTGATAAAAAGAATGAACAAAGTGGATATGAAGTTATGAATCCAGTTGATAAGAAGAATGAACAACAATATGTGGTTGTTAAAAGCGGAGCAGAATACCAGTATGCAAATTAACAGATCGGAGAGACCTTTTTTCACGGTCACAAAACTATGCCACAGAAATTTTGGCAAAATATGAGTTGAACTTTGATCAGCCTTACAGAACAATTTAGAAGTTGTTTGCATCTGTTATATATTCATTTATGTTATACCAATTTACAATTATCCATAATTAGAATTTTCAAAGAAATTTACCTTGTAATGTTTTATCTGAAAGAAATTTTAACCCGAGAAGACACTCAGCATATCATACCAATATAACTACTCTGTGAGTGAGTGTGCGCGAGTAGAAAATAAATGGACCAATCAAGATGTCGATGTTGTATGAGATGTCGAAATGACTATATTTTTAAGACAACAACAGCCTACTCGAAATGGGAATTGAAACAAGAGATCTGTGCTCAAATATATGGACACGTCACAACTCACAAGGTGTTGCTATTTTTTATTCTAACACATAAAAAACGAATCTCTTGAAGTCCACAAAAAATTTTGAAATAAGTTAAAGTAATAGCTTTCTGGCAAAAAAAATCAATCTTTAACCACTGAAAATTTCAAAGCAATTGGTCCAGTATTCGAAGAGAAAAGCGATTTCATCAAGGCGAAAGTGAAGAATAATACTAACAAGAACAACAACATAATATTGAAACGATCGTTATGTACACTGACATGTCTAATTACAAAGAAACACTCAAGAATCACTGAATAAATAATTAATAAAATACTGTAGTAGAAGTAGTAGTAGTACACAGTAGAAGTGTAAATTTACAACCATTTTTTATTTGTGAAATCCAATAACTGACAAATGTCAGTACTTTTACAAGTTTCTTAATAGCATTGAATTTGAAAATAATTCTACATTCTGAGAATGACTCGCCTGATTTCTGTTTTGTTTTCTCTTTTCAACTTCCTATTCTAACAATTGTTGTCACACAGATTCTGTAGAATGAATGAAATAAATTATACATTCAAGTCTAATGAATTTTGGCAGTTTTTGTGCGCAAAAGTCTTGTTAGTAAAGTAGATTTATTCAATAAAAAAGGCAGGGCATATTCCAAGCAATTTTTCACTCCAAAAAAGACTCGACCAAAATAATAGAAAAGAACAGTAAATCTTGATAAAAATTGGTTTTCTTCGTTTAGAAGGTAAAAAGAGTTATCAATGGTTGTAATCACAAATATAATGAAAGTCCATGACACTGCTAAAAACCCCATCTAATGAAATATACAAGACTGCTGAAATAAAAAAAAATCATATTCTTTCCAGTTCCCAACTTCACCAACTCCTCATTGTCAGTTAATTAACAGAAAAAAAAATTTGAGTTCAAAAGCTAAATAATCTACCATTTATGGTGACTTCAGATATAGCTCCAAGCCAAAATAAAAGAAACATATGAATTTATTGCTTCATCAGACTACATCAATGAAGTTTGAACTAATAAACTGATAAGCGAAAAATAATTGTTAATCCTACTAAAAAAACACTTTATCTTGCAATGTACAAATATCTGAAGATAGTCAGTTGACATTCTGACACTTTCTTCAACTATGAGTGATAAATCAACTTCCTATATAACAGAATCAACGATGCTCATAGTACGTTATACAATAAATATCTATAATCAGCAGTATTTGTTAAACAATCATCAGCTAGCTTTGATAATAATATTAGTTTCTTTTATTAGTCATAGAAGGAAACCCATTAGAATTTATTTTTAGGATTTATAAGTTTGACATTATTAGTAGACTAAAATAGAGAAACAACAATTGACAAGATGTCCCATTTTATTCCAATTTTCCTCATTTTAGTTCTATTACGAGTTCGGGGACTGTCTGTGTTAGCCAATTGAATATATCCCCTGCCCATTGGTTTCAGTCAGTTTACACAACTTGATGTAAAGTAGGCGAACAAAATTAGTCACTTACATATTGGTACACACACTTTTAGAGCGCCGAGTAATTTATAAATATATCAATGAGTAAGTATATTAGCAATTGCAAATAATATCCATCAACCACTTGCAAGTGAACTGTTTAAGGAATGCTTGACCTATGAATCAAAGAGAGAGATGATTCATGGTCACTGATTCATATAAACTAAGAACGATTCTGATTATAAATCAGAAGCTTGTTACATAAAGTGTTGTGACAGGTCTCGTATTTTGTCAGTTGGATTTTTATTTTATCTATGTAAGTATCGTGTAATGAATTGAGTGATTGAAGAAACAAAGCAAAGAGAAGTTTAAAGAAGTTGATGAAGATAAACTCAACATGTGGAAACATTCAAAACTCTTCAATTGCGAATGGTTGTTTATGCAGATAATTGGTGAGATCTTACTTACAAAAAAGTTACAAATGGACAAATAAGTCAGCCTTTCTCAACCGGGGGCCCTCGGCCCCCTAAGGCGGCCACAGAGGAGTTGGAGGGGGGCCACAAGGATGGGCTGAAATCTGAATTTACTTTTCACTTTAAAAGAAATCTCACAGTTTTTCTTAGTTTGCTGCTCATCAAGGTTATTTCGCAGGCTGTTTTCGCTCTCTTTTGTGTAAATTGTTTTAACATAATGGGATTTGGAATCTATCAATGAAAATAACCCTATCAATACCTCTGGAATATTAAAGTGGGGGCCATGAGCGCTAAAAGCCTCCGAAAGGGGGCCACGAGTCATAAAAGGTTAAGAACCACCGAACTAAGTCAACATTTGTTAACTGAAAACATAGATTGTCAAATTGTTTGAAAACAAGAATAATAGAGTTTTATACATTATAACTTGCAAACCCTAAGATAGAGAAAATATGGATACCTTATGTATAAGAGCGTGTTTGGAAATATAAGCTTGCAAGAAAATTTGAAGAATTTTCAAATGTTATTGCAAAACTTTTTTATAGCAGTCAGTATCCGTCTGAATGAAGCAGCACTATGCACTGATTGTTCAAATACATTACTTGAAAGAGGAAGCAAGAACATCACATATGGACCAAGTGATAAATACAACTGCTGGTGTGATTCGACAATACCAACAAGTATGGACACAGATCATGAAACTGCAGTTGTTCTGTTGTTGCAAAATGTTTCACTGCCGATGACTAATGGTACTGGGAGCACAGACTGCTCTGGAGAAATCAGATTCCCAAGTATATTATACTATTCTACAATTACTATACTACTGTACACTATTCTAATAAACAGCAACAATTAAAAAGTACTTTTACAGGCACTTATGGATACAAATGTGAATTTTCAAGCAATTACTGCCTTGCATTCGCAACTGAATCAACCATTTGCAACATCAACAAAATCAGAGAGAAAATTCCAGTTGCAAATCCCACCTGTGATTCAATCATTCCATGGAATGAAGCTGGAGGAAGCCCATACAAGATACAATACTATGCAGGAAAACTTGCTGGTTACACAAAATACTTTACAATTCAATATCTTGTAATAAATTGCAAATCTCTAACAACAACCACACCTGCTCTATGTGAGTTATTTTTATATTTTCTATGATACTTATTTGCTTCACTGATATGAAAATATCTAAAGAGGAAGAGCCAGAATCTTTCCAGTTCGCCATTGTCGACCCTATTTAGGAAGTGGCATGGATTTGAAGATGTGTAATCTGCAATGTCAATGTGCCCAAATTGATTTAATAAGGCGATATAACTCCATTTTAAAACATGGGATTTTAGCCACAGCATCTGAGCAAGAATCAACAACAACGAAAGAAACATCTCATACAAAATATACTTCATCTCTCGTGAAGCAATATTCTGACACAACTACTGAATCAACCTCAACATCTGACAACATCCAATGTCCCAGTGAATGCAACAGCACTGAAACATCACTGATCATTGCTATTCCAGTATCAGGAATTATGGGTTTGATCATTGGAGTTTTCTTGATGTTCATAATACTAAGGTAACCATGTACACAAGTATGCTAAAATGTAAGGTAACTGCATAGCGTACTTGCAAGGCGCACAGTCAAGTGATATTCTTAATATTCCGTATTATATGTCTAAAAAAAAATGAATGTGCCAACTCAGGGATGACAGGAGTTCAAACACGATTTCTCAACTCAACATTAACAAAAGCTTCCAATCTGAAACTTCAAACTCTAGATAATGTCACTAAAAAAAGTTTATTTTTAAACCAGGTTTAAAAAATTGACTTTATCTGCAGCTGGTTAACTCTGACATTTTCAAAGATTCAATTTCTTTATTTCGACTCGCACTCTTGAAGTTAATATTTATACATGTATCAAAGATTATATTTTCTATATAACATCAGGTATTGCAACAACAACAATAACAAGAAGAAACCAAAGAACAAGGATTCAATGGAAATGGGAAGCATTCAACATCAGCAGCCAACTGTCCATGAACGAACCGCATATGAAAACTACACACTACAAACAACAGATGAAAGTGGATATGAAGTTCCGATTCCAGTTGATAACAAAAATGAACAAAGTGGATATGAAGTTCCGATTCAAGTTGATAACAAGAATGAACAGCAATATGAGGTTATGAGAAGCGGAGCAGAATATCAATATGAAAATTAACAGCTCGGACAGATCTTTTACGCAGTCACAAAATTATGCCACAAAAATGTTGGAAAAAAAAATGAACTAAACTCTGATCAGCTGTAAATGCATCTGTAATATATTGATCAGCCTCATTTAACATATATTATATTAATTTAATATTATCTATGAGTAATACTTTCAAAAATCTTTTACACGAAGTGTCGTACCTGGGCAAATTTCTAGCCTAAGCAGCCACTCAGCATACCCAGTGGTGGGATTCAAATTTTTTGTCAGCCGGTTCCATCAAAAAAGTCATATTATTCAGCCGGTTCAGTTACAAAAAGCCATATTTTTTAGCAAATAAACTGATTATTCTTAATTACTTCCTAATTAACATTTCAAAATAATGGTTAAGTAAGCATCATTATGTCAAAATAAGCATCAAAATTTTGGATGATGTTGAGGATTGTCTATATTGCTGTATATATTATATACTCGTTGATAATGAACTTAAAAATCTGAAGGTGTAAGGTCTATTGAAAACACATGCTTGAATGTTGATATTCGATAAGAAAAAAAAATGCTGTTATTCTATAAAAAAATAAAATAAACACAAGAAATCTAAGAAAAAAAAGCTTACTAAAGTTAAACTCAAATTTTGCAGTTTTTACGTCAAATATTTCAAAATGGCCACCTGATTGTCATCAATTTCTTTATCTGTATTTTATTATTCTGTTGTCATCAGCAGTACTTATGACAAAGCAATTTAATTATCAACAAACAGTTACAAAAGGAAAATTACTACAATTATAAAATAATTTCACATTTCGAAAAAACATGTGAGCTACTTGCTACTTGTAGAAGTTTAATTTACAACCAATTCTTATTCATGAACATCTAATAACTGACAAATTTTGGTATTTTTTACAAGAATTTTAATAGCATTGAATTTAAAGAAGTTGATGAAGATAAAGAAGTTGAATTTGAAAATCTAAAAAATCTACATTCTAAGAATGATTTACCTGATTTCTGATTTCTGTTTTGTTTCCTTTTTCAATTTCCTATTCTAACAATTATGTTGTCACACAGATTCTGTAAAATGAATAAAATAAATTATACATTCATGTCTAATAAATTTTTGGCAGTTTCCAAGAAGCAAAAGTCTGGTTAGTAAAGAAAATTTATACAATGTAAGATAGAAGGGTATATTCCAAGAAATCTTTCACTCCTATAAAGGCTCAGCACAAAAGAATAAATAAAAAAGTGAATTTTGGAAATTTACCTGGGAAGTGTGAGTTATTAGTGGCTGAAATCACGAATCATAATAAAACACTATGACTCTAATCTAAACCTTATCTAATCAAATATACAAAACTGCTGAAATGGAAAAAGCATAACCGATCTAGTTCCCAACTTCACCAACTCCTCATTGTCAATTTACAATGAATAAAAATAAATTTGACCTCAATAGATAAATAATCTACCATTTATGGTGACTCTGGATATATCTCCAACTCACTATAAGAGACACATGAATTCATTGCTTCATCAAACTACATTACTATAATTTAAACTAATAAACTGATAAGCGAAAAACAACTGTAAGTATTACTAAAAAAAATTCATCTCGCAATGTACGAATATCTGAAGATGGCATACTTCCTGTTAGTCGGTTGACATTCTGACACTTTCTTCACCTATGAGTGATAATTCAACTTCCTAAATACCAGAATCAACGATGCTCATGGTACATAACACAATAAATATCTATAATCAGCAGTATTTGATGAAACAATCATCAGTGAGCATTGCTAATAATTTTAGTAGAGGGAAACTAGTTTGAATTAATTTTCTAGGATTTATAGGTTTAGACATTATTAGTAGACTGAAATAAAAGAACATTCATTTACGAGATTATTTCTATAATGTTTCATCTGACCAAAGACAGACTTTCTTAGACAAGGAGTTTACAACAATCAGGACTCTTGAATTGCATATTATAGTCATGTTCATTCCTTCTACAGCATCATTGCAATATACGCATACGGATCCACATGCATAGAGGGCATAGAAGAAGGATGGGAGTCTCGCGTAACCTAGCACACAATTTACACACAATTTACAAGATGTCGCAATAATACCGAAATGACATTTTCAAGTTTTGTTTGACTAAAACTCTATCATAATATGGTTTCCAGCAATGGGACTAAAGATGATATATCACTTAAACTTTACAGTAGGTTTGACATCTCAAATGCTTTCTTTCAAAATGGCCAACAAAAGTATTTTATTTTTTCAGAACAGGACCCAGTCCAATAGTTGTGTAATCAGTACTCCCGTAGTATGTACCAGGTTAGGGTTAGGCCTTAATTTTATTCCAATTTTTCCTATTTAAGTTCTATTACGAGTTTGGCCAAGTGAATATACTCCCTGCCTATAGGTTTCATTCCCTTTATACAACTTGATGTAAAGGAGGCGAACAAAATTAGTTCCTATACTTCTGGAGCGCAGAGTAATCTATAGATATATCAATGAGTAAGTATATTAGCAATTCCAAATAATACCCATCAACCACTAGAAACTAATCTGTTTGAGGACTGTTTGACCTATGAATCAAATGTTTCAAATTGTAACTTAGAAATTATTACACTTCTATACAAATGACAAATATTACAAAATGCCAAGATAATACATGACACAAGTAGATCATCTCTATGTTGTAATGATATTTCAGCCACATTCTTAATTATGTTAATAAATATAAGTCAGTAACCATTAGCCCACAAAGTAGAAACCAAAGAGAGGTGTTTCATAGTCACTGATTCACATTAACAATGAGAGATTCTGAATATAAATCAGAAGCTTGTTACATCAAGTGTTGAGACAGTATTTTGTCAGTTGGATTTTGTCTTTATCTATGTCAGTACTGTGTAATGAATTAAGTGATTGAAGAAACAAAGCAAAATAAAGGTCAAAGAAGTTGCTGAAGATAAACTCAACATGTGGAAATATTCAAAACTCTTCAATTGCAAATGGTTGTTTATGCAGATAATTGGTGAGATCTTACTTACATAAATAATTTTTACAAAATTACAACTATGGGGAGGCATAAATATTGCTTCACATTAATTTGTTAACAGCAAATTTTATTTTAAAATTTTTTTTTTGTCCAATGAATTTGCCTCGAAATTAAACCAATCACAATAAATTTGAGATCACATTATGAAAATTTTAATATGATTTTCCAATTTCTCAAGTGTTTAAAAACGGGAATAAACGGGTTTTATATACATTAATAGCTTAAGACTCTGTACATATTACAGATATAAACAGATTTCATCAATTCAATTTTGAATGCAATTGATCTAGTTTTTGTAATCCTTGTAGTACTTCTCATTGGTCTGAATGAAGCCCGAACATGCACTGATTGTCGCAGTGTAACGCTTGGAGCAGAGAGCAAGTATATCACATATGGACCAAGCAATGAATATAACTGCCAATGTGATTGGACAATACCAATACCAGTAAGAATGGACACAGATCATGAAACTGCAGTTGTTCTGTTGTTACAAAATATTTCACTGCCATTGACAACAACTGGTAGTGGAAGTATAGACTGCTCTGGAGAAATCAGATTCCCAAGTGAGCTATATTATAATACCACTCAACTATTACTATACTATTGTAATACACAGCAACAATTATCAAAAACATTAGTGAATACAAAATTGTATCAATACATTTACAGGTACTGATTCTCATAAATGTGAATTTGCAATCAACTACTGTCTAGTATTTGCAACTGCATCAACCATTTGCAACATCAACAAAATCAGAGAGAAAATTCCAGTTGCAAATCACACCTGTAAATCAATCGAGCCATGGAATGATGACAAGATACGATACAATGCAAAAAACTCTCTGGGTTACACGAAATACTTCACAATACAATATCTTGTGGTAGATTGCAGACCAACAACCACATCTCCAACAAGTAAGTTAAACATCTGTTTGAAGTTGAATCAACAGACTAACATAATAAAAAAACAAATCTCTTTTGAAATTTCAGCTACAGCAACTGAGCGAGCAAAAACTCATTCAGAAGAAACATCATCCTATAAAATGCTGTATTCAGACTTGACAACTGAAACAACTAAAACATTAGACAACACCCAACACACTACTTATAAAAAAGAATGCAGCGAATGTCCCACTGAAGACTGTGAATGTAACAGCACTCAAGCATCACTGATCATCGCTATTCCAGTATCAGGAATTGTGGGTTTGATCATTGGAGCTTTATTGATGTTCATTATACCGACGTATGTATAGAGGTTATATAGTAGTGATTATCACATATCATATATTGAATGTCGATAAACGCGCATAATTACATAAGTATGTTTGAATGCTTGAACAACAAGTGTTTCAACATAGCGTGTCTATTAGAGCAGTGTAGTCAAGAGATATTCTTTATCTTCCAAGTATGTCCAAAAAATGTTAAAGGATTAACTCAGCTTCCTAATCTACATTAAAAAGTTTCCCAATGTCTGAGCTCAATCTCTGACTATTGTCCCTCGGAAAAAATCTGACTCTAAACCTAGCTTGGAGAATATTCGTATTCTTCTGCAGCTGGAAAACATAGTTTACCAAGAATACATTTTTGTTTCATTTAGAAACTTTAATTCAGACTTTTGAAAGTTTGAAACTTTTACTCTAGTTCGACAAAGACTATTGAAGTTGATAAGCAAAACAAATGTGGCTAGTTTTCTAATATCAGCTAAAAATACTCGACTCAATTTCTGCCCTGAATACAGTGACAAAGAAGTAACTACCAGCATTCATTCAGTCTCAATCACTTTTCCAACCAAGTCATACACGAATCATGAACTTATATTTTCCATCCAAACCAGGTATTGCTGCAATAACAAGGAACCGAAGAATAAAGATTCAATGGAAATGGGAAGCATTCAACATCAGCAGCCAACTGTCCATGAACGAACAACATATGAAAACTACACACCAACATCAGATCAAAGTGGATATGCAGGTCCGATTCCAGTTGGTAACAAGAATGAACAACAATACGAGGTTATCACAACTGGAAAGGAATATCAATATGACAATTGAAAGCTCGAAGATATCTTTTTTAAAGCCACAAAACTATGCCAAAGAAACTTTATA